ACAATGTTGGCGGTTTACATTTACCTATAAGACAATGTTGGCAGTTTACATTTACCTATAAGACAATGTTGGCAGTTTACATTTACCTATAAGACATTGTTGGCAGTTTACATTTACCGAAATGACATTGCGAGCGGTTTACAATTACCTAATTGACATTGATAGCGGTTTACATCAGTTTGGTAAACACTGTGAATGGGGCTGTTCACTATTGTCTAAATTGTATCGATGGGGGTCCTCGTCAAGGAAGGGAGGTGCGTGGTTGGCGGGTGCTCTTGTGTGGTTTGCTCCTTCTTTCCTATCAAGCATCTGTCGTCCTTTTCTCTCCTCCTTCTATTTTGTGTTTGTTACTCTCTTGTAACACCTCTAATCTTCGACACTTTTATGACCTTATTGTGTTGTAAGTGCCGTAAAACTCTTACTAAAACTAAATGAATGGAGCTCACGTCTTCTGTGTGCAACAGTTTACTCTTCGCTTCTTTGTTTGTCCTCGGAACTACAACAGGGAAATGCTGCTTTTCCTTTCCTAATCCTTACTGTCGTCATTTTTCCTCTACTTCTTTTGTATGTTTGTCACACTCTTGGGACCCATTATTTCCGCGGTGCCTTGATAGTCGAAGCAGACTTTGTGCTGTTGAAGCTAGAGAGGTAAGCAGAGTAAGTCTGATTCCCTATAAGGACTTCTCTGTTGACATCCACGCCTTGGCGCTCACATGACCTTATGCAGTTGCGAGCGCCGTAAAACCTCTACTACAAAAAAACTAAAGGGGAGAATTTGTATCGAGTATCTCGATCTTTCTTCTGGAATCGTTGTTGTATACCTCTCCTCAGCCTCGCCCCCCGCCCCTGACAGGCGTGGTAGGAAGCCTGCCTCTTAGGTTATCAAAATTATGTAAGTTGGGATGTGTGACACACCTCTAAATCTTTTTTTTTTATCCAGGTACGTAAAACACATCAACATTGGGTTTTTTTTTAACCCTATCCGTACGTTGTGTTTACTGTCGTATCCATACGACGTGGGGCACCACTTTCCAAAGAGGAACTTTGCTCGTTAATCCGATCCTTACGCTTTCCAGTCGCACTAGAAGTATTCTAAAATGTGAAGAATACAACACTGGGGGTACAAAATGACCCCAGGGTGTACGGATAGCTTTAAATTTTATTAATTTATTTTTTTAAATCCAGGTACGTAAAACACAACATTGGGGTTTTTAAAAATGTTATTATTTTTTTTTTTTAATCCAGGTACGTAAAACACACCAACATTGGGTTTTTTAAATTTTATTTATTCATTTTTTAAAATCCAGGTACGTAAAACACAACATTAGGTTTTTTATTTTATTTTATTAATTTATTTTTTAAAATCCAGGTACGTAAAACACATCAGCATTGTTTTGTTTGGGTTTTTTTTTAATTTACTTTCTTTATTTGTTCAATCCAGGTGAGCAATTGGTTCGCCAACGCCAGACGTCGGCTGAAGAACGCGGTGCGAGGTGAGGACATCCCGTGGTCTCGCCGCATCAAGGTCTACAACAAGTTCGCTGAGGGGAACGCTGAGCTCTTCTCTATCGCCTCGTCAGATGAGGAAGGTTTTCAGTCGGAGACGGATATTGGTGAGCTAGCAAGGCTAGAATCTAGTCGTTTTTGATGTGGTGTTGTTGTTGTTTGTTTTTGTTTGTTGTTGGGGGTTTTTTTGGG